TGGAACGTGTCACATTTCTTGGTCGCTAACACTCTTGATCAAGCATGATAGGGTGGAGGCTCTTTGTGTGTTGTTTGTGCATTCATAAACATGGTATAAGCTTGGTTCTTGGCCACCATGCATTGAAAATGCTTGGTTGGTGGCTTGAGAGCCAAGTGCCACGCTCCTTTGAGCTTGAGACATAATTAGGAGAATGGCAGTGCCTATATTGTCTTGCAAATACATTGTTGTGCCTCTATTGCTCTCTGTTGCAGCAAATCCAGAAGCCTAGAGCATCAACTAGCTACCCAGCCAGTTTTACTAGCCGACCGGCCAGTTATAGTGGCTGGCAGCCCACCAGTAGTTTCCTGTTTTAAAGTAAAGGCAGTCTAGAGGTTGGCACAATTTTCAGAGATCAAGGCAAGTGCAAACAGAGGCAATTGACAGCATGGCAATGGATTTCTGAGCGAACGCCAACCGAGAATGCATCTTCAACCTCTTGGAACACAACTGAGGCAACATGATTTGTAATTAGCTTTACTTGTTAGTTAGATTAATTTGGTAATTTAATTAATTAGTTTGTTAATTAATTAAGTGTTGTAATAATTAGTAAGTAGTTTACTAGTTAGTCGTTTTGTTGCGTTTAATTAATCTAATTAGCTTAATTAGATTGGTTAGTTAGCTTAGCTTAGATTAGCTTAGCTTAATTCATTCAGACCCTCCATCGAGAGGGCAAATGTTGTAATAAGGGTGCGTGTGTGTGTGCATGTCTTCCAACCCCATTTCTTTCTTCCTTTTACTTACCGCTTTCGATGGTTAGTTTTAGGGCACATTTTGATTAGCATACCTAATGCTTTGCGTGTTTGCATCATTCATTTGTCTTGCATGCACCGGGCTCAGCGCATCATTCAAACCGCATTGTATTTCAATACACTTACTTGAATACATGTTTCAAAGCATGTTATCAAGTGTTGCATTCATATGCCATCTTAGATAGCCGAGCCTATTTTAGTTACATTTTTGCATGTGTTGCATTAGGCACTTAACATAGTTAGGATCATGCATATTTATAACTAGCTTTTGTTTTGGCTTGGAGTACACTGTAAATATTTACGCTTTAGCATCCTTGCATGAGTCTATGTGTTGCCATGTTAGCATGCATGTCATGAGACTATGTGCTTATTTGATATATTGCATGAATGCCTGTGGATGAAGGCTTCATTACTTGAATTAGAATAGTTCATCAAAATGTGAGTTTTAAGCCCACTCGGAGTGGCAAATCATCATGTTTTAAGCCCACCTTGTTTGGTGGCAAATTCGCATTTTAGCTTACTTGCGAGTAGCATCTTCAAACCATTTTCGAAAAATAAACATGAGATGTTTTGTTCCAAATCCAGCGATTTAGTCTATGCTTGTGTGTTGTGCGCATCACATAGTAAGTTAGCTAATAATCAAACAAGAACACATGTGTTTTCAAAAACAACATATCATGTTTAGTAGAGGCTAATACTTTGATCGGGCGAGTGGGGGCTGCTCATTTAAGGACCTTCCCCTCTCGTACCCAAGTTCCCGAGCAGAGACAATTTTGGTGATGATGGACACGTGGCCCTTGGCACCAGTCAGGGTTTCCTAAATTTCTCAAAAACAAAATATTTAGGTGGCGACTCTGAAATCTGGCAAAGCAGTCCATGTTTGGCACTTTTTGATTCAAAATTAATTTTTCAAAACCAATTGCCGGATTTGAACTCTTTGGTGATTTATCAGTCTTACATTGCACTTTGTGAGATTAGATTAAGAACTGTGACAGGAGTCCGAACTGTAGTAGCTATGAATCCAAATTCGCGCCCTCTCCGAAAGGGGGGCACATGGAGGAAGTTCAGGCGGTCTACAACTACAAGCTCTTCATAAAACTCATACATGGGATGCCATTGATCTTGTGAGACCCCTAACTTTAGTAAACCTTATTAGGTCCCTAAATTTTGAGCTATTATAACAAAGCCCTTAGTTCGTTGATTATTTGCAAATTAAACCCTTGAATCGAAAACACATCACGGACGAATCCATACAAACCCTAATCGACCCTGGAAGCTTAGAAATCATTTCTAACACTCTAATATTAATTATTTAACTCTTGAATTTTAGATTAATCTCTCCAAACCTTAACTTCTGGTTTTCACAAATTTCATTCAATTATTCACCTTTAAATTCAAAGCAAGATAACACAAACCGAATTATTTTTTCTAACACTAATTTATTAACTCCACACTTGAAATAGATATTTTAATTGAGCCCAAGCCCTCACACTTTTATTAAATCACATTTTGACCACAAACAAGTACCATTATATATTTATATATACACTTGTACCCTAAAACTTTTTTTAAACATTATATTTTATAATTTCCAACATTTGTACCCAAAAAATAATAAAATAAGTCCCTTAAATCACCACTTATTGCCAGCCATAACCTATATAGATACTATGAATGTACTTTGAGACAATTTTGCATGATTTAAGGAAAATATCTTTGACTTGGTACAAACTTTTACATATATATATATATATGTATGTATGTAACTAGGTTGGTTTGAATAGGAGGAAAACCCTAACTAGATCATGTTTAGGAACCTAAATAAGGCCTCTAATCCTCTACTATTCCATTTCATTTAAATTAAATCTAAACTATCCAATCCAATTCCAACCAATGGGCATTTATGACCTTTTGCACCAAATTCATTATAAAAACAATCTAACAATCCTCAAGTAAGCCACAACACAACTCTCTCTTATTTCTTTCCTTTCAAATACATACTCTTAGAAGTTTTAAACATTCATTTCAGATGTGTTTTGATGGCATTCTTGTGTTAAAAATGAAAGGAGTTAGGCCTTGATTCTACTTTTCTTGTATTTCTCTTAATCAGTATAAGGCTACCTTTTTCCATAGCAATCTCTCAAAATTTCCAAAGGCACACCTTCACCTCAAATTTTTGAGTTTAATACATAATATTTAGCATGTTTTCATCACAAGAGAAGTAGAAAATTTCCCTTAGTTGACCTCTTTTCTCACCAACTTTCTTATTTCAAGAACTGTGCCAGAAAAATCTATTTTACAGCCAACTTTCAAAAATTTTAGAAACATGTAGAAAAATCTTCTGGACCTACATTTTATGTGAAAATCTTCCTTAAGGAGTTAGCTTTCAAGGAAAATTGGTTTCATGGAAAAAGAGTGAGCTGTTTGTGAGAAAATCATCGATGAATCTGGACAGAGCTGAGTATTTCTGAAATAACTACAAATCTGGAAAAGCTATTCCATTTCTGAAAAATGTTCTAAAAACTTGATAAAATTCTCTACAAACCATAGGAAGGTCGAGCTTGGAAAAAATCTGAAATGATACTTTTAATTTCAATCTTTAAATGGTTTTAAATCTGAAAATTCTGTTTCACCTTGGTGATATAGCAGATGAAAGTTATAGATTCTATCAAAGTAAGATCAAAGTTATTTTTGGAGATCAGTGGAGAAATATCAAGATCAGAGTGTTGGCGACGGAGGAGATTGATTTGAGGTAATTCGGGTGGTATACGAAGGTCAAGCTTGGAAAAAATCTGAAATGATACTTTTAATTTCAATCTTTAAATGGTTTTAAATCTGAAAATTCTGTTTCGCCTTGGTGATATAGCAGATGAAAGTTATAGATTCTATCAAAGTAAGATCAAAGTTATTTTTGGAGATCCATGGAGAAATATCAAGATCAGAGTGTTGGCGACGGAAGAGATTTATTTGAGGTAATTCGGGTGGTATACAATATGCTTCTTTTAAATCTCTTTGCAAATAGTTATTTTAATCACCTTCAATTTGTACTCCTCTTGATGATTTTGATAATTTGATAAATTTTGTGAAATTATTTGTTGTTGATTCGTTTGATTACCCTAGTCATTTGATGAACTCTGTGTAGTTATTCTATGTTGAAAATGTTGATTTGTCTGGCTAAATGATGTGGAAATGCTCCGTACATAAATCGAGTGGACTTTGCCAATATGCTCTGTACCAATAGCCCAGATAAGCGGTTGTGCTTAGGTGAGGAGGGTGAGGGGGGTGAGGCGGTCACTGGTCATGTACTGAGTAGGACCGGATATTTGGTCCTGGATAAATTATCATATGTCGAGTTGACTTGTTTGTGCAATTTGGTAAATTGCTTGGTATCTCGAATTGAATTGTTTGTGTAATTATTGGATCCTTGTAAAATTATTCATTCTCTAAGCTTTGTTACTCCTGTCGTATTGTATACTTACCGAATTAATTTATTTTTCAAGTGTAGAGAAAATTTAGTGGTGGTTGGAGTTGAAGAATTTAAAGGATTATTGAGTTAGAGATTTTTGGGCTCACCACTATATATTGTTTTTAGATATTTGTATAAGTTATATTTTGGAGACTTTGCGTAATTATTTTGGAGACAATTTTGTATTTTTAAGGTTATTAATTAGTTAAAATTTTAAATTTGAAGTTTAGTTGATTTATTAACGGCCCAGAAGTTGGGGCGTTACAAATCTTCCCCCTAGCAAAACTGTAATTATCTGCAAATGGGCATCCAAGATTAAAACACTTTTTGATGGGTTTATTGAGCGTTACGAAGCTTGTCTTGTTGCTAGGGGATTCACTTAAGAATATGGCATTGATTATGAGGAGACCTTTGCTCTGGTTGCTCGTCTCACTTCTATTCGTAGCTTAATTGGTGTTGCTACTGCTCGCCACTAGATTCTCAATCAGATGGATGTCAAGAATTTTTTTCTCAATGGGGATTTTCTTGAGGAAGTCTATATGCAACCTCCACCTGATTCCTCTATTTATTTGCCCAAAGTATGCAAGCTTGGTCATGCTTTGTTTGGTTTGAAACAAGCTCCCTATGCCTAGTTTGCCCAGTTCAACTCTGTGATATCAAATTTTGGTTTCATCTCTAGCTCTTATGATTCTACCCTATTTATTCGTAAGGCTAAGAATGGTTCTATTTTCCTATTTCTCTATATGGATGACATGATCTTCACCAGTGATGAAATTGCTGGTATTTCTAGTCTCAAGGCATTTCTTAGTCGGCAATTTGAAATGAAATATTTGGGTTTGCTCAACTACTTCTTAGGTCTTGAGATTTCTCAAGATTTTTCTTGCTGCTTTCTTTCACAAGCTAAGTATACTTCTGATCTATTGGCCTGTGCTGGCCTTACTGATTGCAAGACTGCTTCTACTCCCATTGATTCCCAGATTTTTCTTATACTTCTTGACGGTGTGCTCTTGTCTGATGCCAGTTTGTATCGTCAGTTCGTTGGTAGTCTCGTTTATTTTACTATTACTCAACCTGATATTGCCTATGCGGTGCATATTGTTAGTCAATTTATGGTAGCTCCTCATTTCCCACATTATGATGCTCTACTTCGTATTCTTCATTATGTTAAAGGCACTATATTTCATGGTCTTCACTACTCCACTCATTCCTCTCTAGAGTTACATGTCTTCTCTGATGCAGATTGGGCTAAAGATTCTACTAATTGGCACTCCACCACTAGGTTCTGTTTCCTTTTGGGTAATTCTCTTATTTCTTAGCGTAGTAAGAGACAGACTCTCTCTGTCCATTCAAGCACTAAGGCTAAGTATCATGCTCTTTATGACACTACTCAGGAGCTTCTTTAGCTCCGTTGGCTTCTTACCGATATGGGTACTTCTCATTCCGATGCTATTGTTCTTTATTATGATAATTAGAGTGCCATTCAAATTGCGCACAATAATGTCTTCCATGATCGCACCAAGCATATTGAGATTGATTGTCATTTCATTCATCAACATGTGACTCATGGCACTGTTCGTTTTCTCTTCGTCACTCCTACTACTCAGGTCGCTAATGTCTTCACCAAGGCACATCCTTCTGATCGTTTCTCTGACCTAGTTTCCAAGCTCTATCTCATTCCTGCCTTTCTACCTTGAGCTTGAGGGGGGATGTTAATATAGCTTGATTGTATCTTCGTATATAGTATGATTAGTTGTGTGTATATAATTAGGCCATTACCACAGTTAGATATTTCCTATTTTTTGGTTCCTTATTCTCCTACATATTGGAGACTTGTGTAACATGTAATTATTCATTCTATTCAATATACAGTTTATTATCTCTTCAGCTTTATCATACACAATAAAGTCACTTATATATAAGGATATTTTATACTTTTCAATTACGGTTATTTACATGGAGACCTCTTAAATTATCAACAAAGATTACTTTAACCCCTTGAACTATAAAATCATTCCAATGAACTCCTTAAACTATTGACATGTTCCATTTTGACCGTTTCTATTAGGGGGCTCAATTAGTACGTTTTTATAATTTAGGGGGTCTATTTGTACACTTTTATAGTTTAAGGGTTAAAGTGGATTCGAGAATGGAGGGTTTGAGATGAGAATGCCACCAGTAGAGAGAGAGAGAGAGAGAAAGAGAGAGAGATCAGCTTTGATAGAACCACGGAGAGAAAGAGAGAGATCAGCTTCAGTTTGTGAGAGGAGAAAAAAAATAAGAGAAAAAGTGAGACTAATAACCCTCTATATATATATATATGGGGAATTCGGGGATTAACGAGGCGGGGCGGGGCCGGGGCCGGGTCTCGGGCGCCTATCCCCGTCCCTAGCCCGAAAGCTGTCGGGGATTTGATTTTCAATACCATCCCCCGGCCCTATGGGGATTAATTTTCGGGGAAACCCCATTTTAATCGGGGTCGGGGAATCGGGTCCCCGTTGGGCCAGTTTCAAATTGCCATCCCTACCTGCCTTTGACCGGACTGGAGAGAGGACTAGTTGAGGTGTGTGTAAACTGGCCCGAACACCCCTTACCGTTTTTTTTTTTTTAGGAGGGGGGGGGAATCAAATTTGGTTTGGTGTAGGTGACATTCAAAATGAATTTGAACGATATATTTCAGTTATTTTTGGAGTAGTTTTTATGTGTGTTGAGGGGGTGCATTGTTTTTAGATGGGATGGGGTACTAAGTTCCTAACAAGGATGAAATAGGAGTTTTTTTTTTTTTTTTACCTTTATTATTTTGATGTCAATAAAAAAAGTAGACTTTATTCTTCCACATAAAAGTGATTATTATTTTTCATTTCGTAAACCAATTGTAAAATGAGATTGACAGTGGGACAAGTTGAAGAATATACAAAGTATCATGCACAAACTTGAAGGGAATATGTTTTTGGGCTCATGGGGTCACTTGCCATAGAAACCTCCAAAATATTCATAAATTTACCAGCATAATAATTATAACAACAACAACAAGGATTAATTACTCTTTGTACCTTGTAGTTTTGTGAGAATTTGAATTTATCTCTTGTAAAACAAAAAATGCGCATTGTCCCTAAAAAGTGATTCATGAAGTTATTACTAATGGAGTAGTAGCTCCCATTTTACCATTAAACTTGAATGATTAGTGAAGACTCAATAGTTTAGGGGTCTATTTGTATATTTTTATAGTTTAAGGGGTCAAAATAATATTTTTCAATAGTTTAAGGGTAAATAAATCTTTCAATTAAGTCGTTAACGAGTTTAACAGTATACTTTAGTTTACAAACTACAAGGGGTTAACTTATGTGCTTATTTTCAAATAATGAGGAGTATGTGCATATAGTTAAATTCACAAAGGGATAAAGTAAAATTTACACTTTTATTTATGGGGAAATCACTCAATAGTGAAAAAATAAATAAATAAAGAAATAAAATAATAAATAAAAATAATAAATTCATAAACATAAAAGGTGCAATTTATCTTGTAATGAGGTGCAATTCAAACTTTGTGAGGGGTGCAACTTTGAGTTACACCCCTCATTCTTTACATATTTTTCTTCTTTGTGCCACTATGGAGTGATTTCTTCTTTGTTAGATTTTTATTATTGGCAATCCCGTTTGACAAAACTCCTTTCAGTTGTAATTTTATTTGATTGTTTATTTCAGTGAGCTATGAGTATTTAGATGCGAATCCAACCTGAATTGTACCTTGCAGAGGAGTTTGTGATCCGAAGTTCTATCATGTTTTCCACTTCGCTGACTATGTCAGGGATCGAGCTGCCCGGTCAGCTCACAGGGGTCGATGGAGCAACGCCCCTTGGTAGGTTTGGGGTAGCGCCTAGGCGGGGTCGAGGGGCAACGCCCCCAAAGCTAGAAGCAAAATTGCAGTCAAAGTTGCTTGTCCGCTCAAACGGCCATTTGTGCGAAGAACATTTGGTTCCAGAAGTTTGACCTGTCTGCAAAAGTACTAGAAGTTGGGATTTTACACTCGAGCAAACCTTCCTGAGCTCGAGCAAGGTCCGCTCGAGCGAAGATCGCGGATAAACTTTCTATAAAATATGTGGTTTCATCTGTTTTTAGGGTTACAGCTTCCAAATCTTCTTCTTGGATATTAGGGTTTATATCTGGAGCTTCTTTGCTAGTTTCTTTGATATTTGTTTGAGTTTAAATCTAGTTTGAAAAGTATACATCAAAGGATTGTTTGTTTCGTTCAATACAAAAGAGAATGTTGTTCTTCGGTGGATTCTGTGGAATTTGGGCCTGAAGCTTTGTTGGATTCTAGAGTGGCTCATCATCGTGGATTCGACATCAGCGTTGTAGATTCAACGTTGGGCAAGACAATTCTGAGGTGAAAACGGTGGTGAAAGAGGCATATATGGGTCAGTTCGATACGTGCGTGGATTCGCTAGGTAATTGAGAGTATACTTGTGTAATTCCTTTATGTCTTCTTAGTGGATTGTTTTGTGGCTTTTGCTAGTGGTTTTTTTATCACAATTAGAGGTACTCTAATTGTAATTTTTCTACGTTAAATCGTTGTATTGATTTGTCTTTGATTGTTTAATTGGGATTGCTATTTACTCATTAAAATTGATACATAATCACAAATCAATATTTAGGAGATTTCTAGATTTTTCACTCTTAATTCATCATGTAATTTGTTATCATTATATTAAAAATAGACACCGATGATAGGACTAGTTAATTATTTAATAATTTTAAAACATCATATGATACTATCTATGCAATGTTATAAACTAATCACATAGGAAAATGTTTGAGATTCTTAAAAATCTCTCACAATTCAACCCACAATAATATAATTCGATAAGTGTCAGTTTTTTATTGGTTATGCAGTTAATTATATGAGACCTATCACCTTTGTCACAACATTATGAATGCATTTGTGAGTGTAAAATGTGAATCTCTAGCATTGTTGAATCGAATAGCATACAATTTTATGATCGAGATATATTGAGTGACTCATCGTTAAGTAAGAAAAGAAAAAAAAAAAAAAGGATAAATTTGCCCTTTTTATGTTTCATATTTTTATTTTGCTCTTTAAAGTTGTTTTTCTCACTTTGGCCTTTTATGTTTTAAGTTTTTCTTAATTTACTTTTAAAGCTAATTTCGGTTCCAAATTAGACAAAAAATGTCACATTAACTATCACATAATATAAAAAATATATTATTATATTAGATTTTAAATTTGTACTTAAAGTGTGAGTTATATATAATAAAATATTTTTATGTTGTAACAATTGAAGTTAGGGCTGGGCACGGGTCAGTTGCGGCCACAGAACCTCCAATCCGCTATCCGTCCGCTAGATTGGCGAATTGAAGAAAATCAATCCACATCCATCCGTCAATCCGGCGGATGTGGATTGAGCGGATCAGCAGATTGATGGATGGATGCAAATCAGTTTGGCGGTTTAAAATTTTATAAATTTTCAACATAATTCAACTTGTGCACTTCCTCAAAATATATATATATATATATATTACAGTCAATGATTTAAAAAGTATTATTATCACTGCATGCCACATCTAAAGAAAGAAAGTTTGAAATTTTAGAATATTACAATCACTACATATCTCTTTTCCACATATTACAATCACAGCATGTCTCATCCACATAAAGTATTACAATATGTAATTATTAAAATATAAAAACAATTCAAATTACCAAAACCATGAACAGAGCAGTAATAGAGATTATATGTCTTTGTATTGTTACATCTATATCTATTTTTAAAAACAACAACCAACCAGCATATATCATCTTTTTTATCTATTATTTTTAGAGTTAGATTTAAAAATAAAAAAATATAGATAAATAATACATTTATTTTTTTCAATTCAAAAAATATATTCAAGTTGAAGCAAATTCAATAAGGTGCTTCACAAAATGTGGAAATTAGTACCCCTTATAGTTATGTGGTCAGTTTGAAAAGCAAGAAATAAGTGCCTATTTAATGAAAGGCAAGTTGATTGGAATAATTTAACAGCACTTTGGAGTAAATTTAATTCTAAGAGTGGTGGAATATTCAGTGCAGAATATTGTCACTAATCTTGATCAGATCAAGGCTTGTGTTAGTAGTAGAAGATTGGCCGTCACTTGATATAGTAGGATTATGTGTGACTGGTGTTGATGTTTTTTTTTTTTTTTTTTAATCTTTGCTCTCTTGATTGGTTTCTCATCAACTTTGTAGCTTTTCCTTACTTTTTTTGATGTATGTTATATTCTTTGTATTCTACATATCATCAATAATGCTCTCCTTCTTTGCAGACACAAAAAAAACAAAAAAAAAACATGTTAGTGGGTAACAAATGTTTTGAGAGTTACTATATCCCATAAATTACATGGTTTAATGTAGAGTGTGATTCTGAATTTATGTGGTTTTAATTGCAGCAATGCTAGGTATCATGAAAAACCTTTCATGAAAATAATCATGAAAGCTTTGTGACTCTTGGATTACACTTATGATAAAGTATCACACACTAATAAAGGTAATCCAAAGATCATAAATCTTTCATGATTATTTTCATGAAAAAATTTTCATGATCTCTAACTTTTCTCTTATTGAAACAGTGATGCTAGGTAGCCCTAATTTTTGTAGTTCAAATTTGCTCAAATGATGTGGCGATGATGTGGAAAATTATTATTTTTTTAAAAAAAAAATATTTTTTATTTTTTTATTTTATTTTGTTTAGGATACTAAGGGGTGGTTTGGGATGATCTAAATAAGTGTACTTTTTTACTTTTTATGAAAATATGTGCAGAAAAGTAGAGAGGTGATGTGATGAAAAAGATAAAAAGATAAAAAAATGTGTACTTATTAGTACACCCCAAACAAGGCTTTGTTCTTGATAATATACGATATCTTGAGATATTTTATTAAACTTTTTCTTGTAAATTTTATATCTTTAGTAGTATCAGTATTTAGTAGATTTTGTAAAAATTCACGACGTTGGTGACAATTTGCTATTAATGTTATTACTTTATTACAATCTAGCAACAAGTCTTGGAAATAAAATGGTGATAAAAAAAAAAAAAGTTTTAGATGTTTTGATTTTAGGCCCACTATACTTCCAAAATAATAACAGTATCTAAAGATTTGATCGTTACCTGAACGTAGTTGGCGTGGGGCTCTGGCGTTGGTAAGCTTCCAATTTATAAAAGTAGCTTCCCTCAACATTTCCTTCCTTAGATCAGACTCAACACAGATCTATTTCGTTTCCTACCTCAGTCCATAACTTTAGAAACTGCTTCTTTAGTTATACAGAAGACCTAAGATCAATAACTTGATATTCTGTAATAACACACTCTCTTCTAGAAATGAAAAACTTTTTTATTTATTGAACAAAGATCTACAAAGGGGTGTCTGTAGACTGTTGGATTGCCAGAATATTATTTGCTCTAAGAAAGCCTGAGGAGCGGACTTTTCTTAGTTTCAAGTATATTCCAAGTAACCTGTCCCATTTTTCTCTTCTCCAAAGTCTTTATATAGGCACCTTGTGAACTTCAAAGTTTGAATTTCAACTATACAACATTTTATATTTTATATTATATATTTTATTGTTACTAGAAGACAAACAAGAGACAAACAAGCAAGTGGTGTGGCCACATGCTGATTTATTTATGAACAAGAGACACTTAGTGGTGTAGTCACATGGAAGTGTAGTCTTAGCCTATGATTCTGTCAATCCATTGCATTGTCTAGATTTCACACCCCTTCATCACCTTTGATATTACTAAGATCATAGTTCTCGCCATATTCTTCAAACATCTCATCACATCCTTCCAGATCTTGTTCCATCAGATAATTCTTCAAAATTTTACATCCTTTTTCAATAAATATTTCGATTCTACACTACAACAAAAAGCATTTTTTGCGACATTTTTTAGCAACCAAACAAAATTTTAGTCGCCAAAGATACATAATTGGCGATAGAATATTTATGGTCTCTAAAAGCTAAACATTTGGTGACGGATTTAATTTTTTGGTCGCTGTAGAGTTTGGCGCCAATTGAAAATTCTGCGCAGGAGTGCTAAAAAATTTTCGGCAACCAAATTTATTTTTGGCGACGGAAATTTTAGTTGCCAATTGTATTGATTTGGCGACAAATATTATTTGGTCACTGAAAATCTGAATAATATTTATGGCAACCAAATTTATTTGGTCACTAATGAATTATTTGTCTTTACCCTAATTTTTTATTACCAAAAATAATTGACTAAATATTTTGGGTGAGTAAAGAATCAATTCACCTTCACTTCTCCATTTCATTTTCTTAGTCCATCAGAAACGCACAGCACAGGTATGCTCTTCTTCTTCTTCTTCTTCTTCTTTTTCTTGTTCTTCTTCTTTTCTCTCTCTCTCTCTCTCCCTCTCCCTTTTGCTCTCTTGCGCCGCCAAATGCAAAATGCATAACAATGTTGGGCGGCAGCAGCGCTGGATGGCAGCAGATCGCGACCCTCTGTTTGGGTCGCTGCCCTATTCTCTTCTCTGTCTCTGATATTCTGAATGTATTCCCTCTCCCTCTCCCTCTTGCTCTTGCTCTCTCGCATCGCCGAATGCAAACAGCACAAAAACACTGGGCGGTAGCAGATTGCGACCCTCTGTTTGGGTCGGTGCCCTCTTCTCTCTCTCTCGCTCTCTAGATTATTAGCCTGAATGTGACTTTCATTCAATCGAAGGTGGATTTGAGATTTCTTAATACTAAAGTTTCGAATTACTCTCTCTTTTGTGTACATACATATATTTCTGTATTGTATGTGTATATGTTAATTGAATGGTGAGTTTGTTCAATGCTGTTTGTGGTATTGCTCGATTAGTTTTGTTGCACTATGAATTGATTTCATTGAATAATCAAGCTTTTGATCTTCTATTTTTCTTTGTATTTTAGAGTTTTCGAAATTGAAATCAATGGATTTGAGATTTCCTAATACTAAAGTTTTAAATACATACATATATATATATATATATATTTATATATGTATATATGTTAATTGAATGGTGAGTTTGTCCTTTGCGTTAGTGATTGATTGTTGCACTATGAATTGATTTATAATATTGAATAAATTGAATTTTGATCTTTTTTCTCTGTGTTTCAAAGTGCTCAAAATTGAAATATGAGATTTTCTAATACAAAAGTTTCATATAACTCTCTCTTTAGTAAATGTGCTTATATATGTTAATTGAATGGTGACTTTGTCCAATACTATTTGTGTTAGTGATTGATTAGTTTCCTTGCACTATGACTTGATTTATAATATTGAGTAAATTGAATTTTTGATCTTCGTTTTTCTGTGTATTTCTAAGTGTTCGAAAATGATTTCATTGTGTCTACATCATCTTCAATTGAGACTTTTTATTGTTGAAGGGTTTTTGAATGAGCATGGGAAGAGGTTTAGAGGTAGAAAAAGGGAAAAGTGAAGAAAATGGATAGTGGCATCATGATGAGTAAAGTAAATAGCAAAATTCTATCTTCTTCTCTGATGAGATCAAAGTAATGTTGATGCCCTGTTTAGGGTAATGTTAATGCCTTTGCTAATTTAGCCTCTTGGTTTTTAATTGTTTTTGTTTGGAAAAAGGGTAATCATATGAGAACGATTTTTTTTTTTTTTTTGGGTCATTTTCTGTTTGTTTTTTTAGGGATGAGGAGGCGACTTGGGACTGGAGATAATTAATCCAATCCCATATGATAGTAGAAACAGAGTTTTTTTTTTTTTCGCTGGTAGGTTTTGACTTGTATGAAGCCATGCCATCTAACTTAACTCCATCTGCTCAAAGTGTACCATCTACAAATGCTCTACATATCTAGGCTTTACCATCTACAAATGCAACTACTACTCAGGCTTTACCATCTACATATGCAACTACTACACAGGCTGCACCATCTGCAAATGAAGCTACTACCGAGGCTGCCCCATCTACAACTAGTTTGCGTACCTGTTTTACACAGGTAAAGGGTCAGACTCGAGGAAAGAGCATAGTCTTCCCTTGATTAGGATAAAACAATGGGTAAAACTCATATTGATATTAGTTTGAGTGGAGAGATTTTTTAAGTGATTTTTATCCAAATTTAAATTTGATATAGGTTTTGAGTCAAGAATTGGAGATGCCTTAGGTTTCAAGTATACATAGTATTAAACAAGGCTCGGCTCTGTTGTAGGTTATGAATCCACTTAGCCCCCAGTTTTACTGCAGATTGGTTTTTTCAAATTCATGGGCTTTTGTTTCAATAAAGAATTAAACAACACAGATAAGTCAATGCCTAATCCAATCCCGGCTTGCATCCACCATAGCTTTTAAAAGGGAAGATGCTGGATCCTTTTTCTTCTGTAATTTCTCTTGGCAATAAATTTCCTTGCTTTATGGGCTCACAGAAAGTGTTGGGGGTTCATAGCAATCTTGAAGTGTTGGCAGATTTGTCAGAAGACAGATACAAGTAATTAAAGGAAAGGATTATATTAAAGTGCGATTGTAATGAAAGATTATATTTAACAGGTTTATATACAGGTTCTGGGAGTTGGTTCGTGACCTGGAAATCTTTAGGTCCCTTAAATTAATTGAAACCTACATGAACAACAAAATGTTCTTGTATTTTGAATATGCTTAAATCTGACATAGGATCCTTCTTAGCATAACCTTGAGTCACATGAGGGAAAGCTTGTTTTTATCTCATTTGTGGACATGTATATGAACAAGTCTGTTACAATCATTTTAATCGTTTAATGCTGCCTTATAGGTTAGAAATTAGGAATTACTTGACATTTCTTTGATGCAAGCATGGATTAGGGAGTATTATTTTGATGTTAAATTTAGTAGATATATAGGAACACCTGGGATAAAATTGAGTTCCTTCATATCTCCTCTTGTTTTTTTGCTTTGCGTATGCAATATTCTCCTATAACTGTGTTGGCTATTAATCATCCATGGTAAAATAGAGTTTTTAGAAGCGAACATATTAAAGAACTCATATCTGTACACCTTTGCTTGTTCCCTCCTTCAACATCTTTATGATTTTTCTGTTTAAATTAAAATTGCACAGTAAATAATGAGATCTTTTTAGTTTTTCCTGGTTTACAGTGGTGCTTTGTAGGTTTCATTACAATTTTTATATTCTATCATCAAATAGGCCACAATGTTTTCTCTAGTTTTGTGAATTTAATCTATCTTAATTGCATTTTTCAGGGACAAATGCCAATGTTTCTGCAAATAATAGGACAAATTCTCAACAAGGAAAGAGAGAGACTTCCTTTTCTGACTTGGGCCCTTTGAAGGACAATGAACGTCGAGATCTCAACTGTGCTGTAAAGGAGTATTTGCTTTTAGCAGGATACCGTCCTACAGCAATGACATTTTATGAAGAGGTATTCAAATATAGCTTCTTCTTTAAAAAAAAAAAATTAAAAAAAAAAATCTCTATCTGATGTAAAGTAATTAATTTTTCATTTGGTATTTGGTCTCTTATGTCGTGGTGATGTATATTCTTGGTGTATCTAGAAAATATATTTACAATAGATTGTATGTTCTGGCTCAACACATGAACATTATTTAACTTTTCATACATGCCAAGTTTCAACTAGTGAATCACGTGTTACTTTTCGATTTTGAAATATTGAAATCTTGTAATTCATCGTAGGAAAATTTGTTCCTAATTTGTTCATCTATAATGTGAAACCAATGTTTTCAGACCAAGAACTTTATTATTAACATTTTAACATTGTATTTTTTTTCATATGTTTGACAAATTGGCAATGGATGGAACATAGTTCGGGGAGCATCAAAGGATTATATTTTGAATTTTTTGATATATTTTATCATAGGTTTTTGTTATGAATTTGCAAGCTTAGAAGTTTTTTTGGAATTACATATGTTTGAAGTTTGGGATTGTAAGGGATTTGTACTTATATTGGATGTTTTGAATTTGATATTTTGCTTATATTTAATATGCTACTACTTTTGAATTAAGTTTATATTTCGGATGTTTTACACAAGTGTGTTAATTTAAATTATATTGCTTATGTTTATAGGTTTATGAATTATGTACAGAACATGGAAATTGTAAATTTTTTTTTATAAATAATGAATTTTGGTGACAGGTTTTGCAATTGTAAATTTACTTTTGGTGACACTTTGTTCGTGTTGCTGAAAGTCTATGTGAATAATTTTTTTAGCGACCCAAAACTTGATTGGTCGTCAAAAGTTTTAACATTCAACAACTAATTCATTTAGTCACTGAAAGATATTTTTAGCGACGCATTTATATGTCGCTAAAACCTAACATGTCATCCGCTTAAGGCTACTTTTAGTGACTAAATATTAATTTATGGCGACAAAATTTTAGTCTTCTGGTGACTAAAATATTTGGTCACCAATTTATTTATAAGGCGACCAAAATTTATTTGGTCGCTGAACCATTTAGTGACAGGGCTTCAGCGACCGATTTTGTTGATATCGTGGATACTTTCAGCAACCAAAATTACACTTTTGGTGATTGAAAAAAAGGTCGCTAAAAGTGTTTTTTTTTTTTGTAGTGCTACCTGTTCCAAATAATCATATACTGATTCATAAGGCAATCTTGGAACAATTAATTTTTCTGTCAAGGACAATGTGGTCTAACTTGATCTCATTAGGATTTATTCTTTTAGGTGTAATTCTATCTATTGGAATTCCATTGGTAGGTTCAAATGTACACTACAAGAAATTTGATTTTTAGCAGCATTTCAAAAGCGCCGCTATAGGCTTGAAAAACGCCACAATAGGATTTTGCAACGTTTAATATTTTCGTCGTAGATACGGTTGCCGCAATAGCTTAGTAGCGTTTCAAAAGCGTCGCTAAAAACATAAGACGACGTTTTTTAAAACGTCGCAAAATCTTTGACAGCCACTTACTTTTCCGTTAATGATGTAATGATGACGTCATTCAGTGACGTTTTTTCTGAAAAACGCCACCTTTCTTCATTTTTAGTACTTGTGTCAGATGTGATGTCATGATGACATCATTCGCTCTAGCATACTGTAGCCCAGAACTCTGTGCGTAACAATTGTGTAAAGATATGTTCAACTGATTATCTTTTGAATACTGAACTGAACTGTTTACTGAACTGGTATTATTTACTGAATGAATGTATGTCCTTTATTTCTGAACTGTACTGTGGCATCCTTAGTATCTACGGTTTACTGTTACTGTTACTGTCACAGAGATCTCTGTCGGTTTCCTTGTGGAACCACTACTGTTTACTGACTGATGGTCATCATTACTGTTCGGTCTTTTAAGACCTACTGTTACTGTTATGCTAATGGATGTACCACATATGACTGTTTACTGTACTGAACAACTGAAATACTGATTGAATTGAACTGTTTTCATTACCGTAAGGACATTCATTCTAAACCTCTTTACGCATTATGTTATTCACTGGGCTTTAGCTCACTGTTTATATATATATGTAGGTGCTCAGCCACCAGATCGGAGCTAGGAGCGTGGGTTAGACTCCAGTTTTGTCAAGCCAGCCTTTGTGCCTCACTGCGAGGTTCCAAGCCTGTCTGCTAAGGCTTAGGGGTGTTTTAAGAATTCCCCCTTCTGTACTGCTTCACTGTTTTGTATAGACTGACTGTTCACTGTACCGCTACCTAGGGATTAGGTCCCTGTACTGTGTGACCGTTAATTTTGTATACGGTGTTGTACAGACGGAATGTTTTCTGTACTGTTATGTGGGGTTGAGTCCCTAGTTAAATGGATGTGAATATTGTGTATACTGTTCTGTACTGTTTATGTATAAATGTATGAAAAGTCTTTTTGCATGCAGACTGTCACAGCTCAATGGACACTATTTATTTACTGTATTGGCTTCCGCCAGGCCCTGTACTCTGTTTTACTGTATTACTGTTCTGCAGGCCTTCGGTAATCTCAGATTACTGGCCGGTTACGGTGCTAAACCCATAGGGCCGGGTTTGGGTCGTGACAGAGATTTAACCCTACAACTTTCCGAATCTCAATCATATATTGTCAAACAGTTGAATTTTCTTCAAATCAGCCCCCCATGTTTAGTGCAAACCTAAGGTGAGAATCTCCATTTTCTCCACGAGAATACTGATCAGGTCTGCTTGTACCTACACCATATACAATCTTCATAAAATTAAACAAGGAAGAAATTGGTTACCAATAGGAACCATCTGAAACGAACAAGCAACACGCTTGAAATCCTCCAAAAAATACCCACAGAATGATCAGGCAACTTCCTCGTAGCATCTATAGCACCCTTGATATTATTTCGTTCCCAAAAATGGCGCACCACCTACATTCATTAGAATTTTATATTATCTGCATCCTTACATAAAACAAGATGCATGAATGCAATTCACATAAGAGAGAATAGCAATTTTCTTCAAAACGAAAAATCTGAGGCAAAAGTTTGTCAATTATTACAAACATCCAGTAATTTTCCATGCAGGAAAACTGCTTAATAGATGAGATAATTTCAGCAATCAACAATAATGCCAAAATAGTAACAAATGAGATCCACAGACCTGTAATTTTGTCAAGTGAGACCGAAGGGTACTTAAGAATACATCATGATTCTGCATCAGATCTTCAGCAACATTGCCATCATTTGCAGATGTCAACTCCCTTTCAGTAATTTGTAGATGTCCATTCTGTAAGTTTCCAAGTAGTGTGATAAATATTCAAAAGACTACTTGACAAAATCTAAGAATATGACTGCATTATATAAGAGAAAAACCCTGAAATAAAAAAAAAATTAAAAAAAAAATTTAAAGTACAGGGTTTTATTTTAAATAGTCCAGAATAGAACACCATTCTCATTACAACTGGCCATTAACATTGGCCAATTTATCTGTCAGTACTATTTTATCTTTACACAGTCAATCCTTTTAATGTATAACTTTGGTGAAATGGCTTAATAGGATCCATGCCAATCCCAAGAAATTGGGAGAAAGGCTTAGTTCAATTGAGTTGTAGCCTATGGTTTCATTATATCTACAGATATGTAAGTTGATGATTGATTGAATATTTTGCAATGGAGTTGATTGATTAGAGCTATGAATGGTAGATATGAAAGCTAGTGTTGGTTTGTCTTGGGTGAGGGAACTAGTATGAGATGGTGGTTATCTGTAACAGAGGGGGTTGCAAAGGGAATGGTGGTGCTTTCATGGTTGATAGAGGTTCGGGTCCAACAAACGGATGAGAGAAAGAGAAAGGTATTTGTTAGAAAATGTATAAATATTTCATTAAAGGTTGATTTTGTTGATATCTTGTAATAATTATGGTTTAGTGACCAGTTCTTTATGGTGATAATTGACGGCAACTAGACACGGTAGAGGTGAAGGTAACTGGATTTGGACTATTAGGATCTGCATATAACAAAATAATGTAGTCTACTAATTCAAAATATCCTGTGTGAGTGAGAGGTCATATAAATTGAAACCAAATTACATATCAATTTATCTATGCATAATAGCCACAGAAGATAACTATTTTAGAAGGGAAAACCATACCAACATGGGGGATATTTTAGCCATCTCAGGTATTATTTGAGGGGTTGTATCAGGTGCCTGAACTTCATCACTATTTAATCTCCCTCTCTTTCCTTTCAAACCTCTCAACCAGAGTGTGTGTCCTTCCTTGTACAACTGCCACTGCCAAAAGAAAATTTCTAAATGAATTAGATTCTATCAAACACGTCTTTAAAAACTGTGTAGATAACATTTGATAGCAGACCTTCATTCGCAACTTTAACTGAATTTGTCCCTTCAGTGCCATTGAGGGACTCATTACCTGCAAATAATTGAAAACAAATCAATATTTTGAGCAACAGATTATTATTATAATGTGTATATGTAATCAAAAGCTCATAGGTTTTGTATCTATTTTGAACTCATAGGATTTAACATGAGGAAGGAGAAATCAAATTTAAAATGTATATAGGGAACAATGTTTAAAATTCTATATAAGGCTTGAATATAAATGGCATTGATCTGCCAAAAATTCAAAAATGGAAAATAGTAAGAGAATTCAAGAAATATTGAAATGACATGGAGTTTAAGAACATGCTGTTTCACTATATTAGTCTTTCTTTTGAAGAATTTCAAATTGGAAAGGAAATGAAGTTTCAAAAAACTTTTTGACAAACAGTTTTCAGAAATTAATTTAGAAAGAAGTTTCATCAAGCAATCTCCCATTTCTTTCTGAAAAAATTAAACAACTCCCAGAAATAGAACCAATATGCTGAAATTATAAGCAAAGTTTCAATCTCAAAATATAGGTTTATTAACACAATTGGTAAAGAATCCCTAGATTTCATTTTCCAGAGGAAAATCTCACAAAGCAACAATGAGAATATAATGGAATGAGCAAAAAGTTCAGCTAAAGGTGCTATCAGTTTAGAACAGGTCAGCTTCAAATCTGATACTGGTTGATCAAGTTGACAGAAAAAAAAGATCAAGTATGTCTCTAAAGTCAGCAGAGATCAATACCCAAACATAAGGGACTGAGGCAGAAACAAATCATACAGGAAAAGCATATAATGGAGGAATATTGCTTCAAGGAAGAAATTAAAACTAGATGCCAATAATTCCAAGGGCAAAAATACTTCATGTTAAAAATCCAACGAATGGAAAGATGCAAAAAATTTATGTAGAGATTTTTTTTTTTTTTTTTTTTTTTTTTTGTTTTCTGTAAGTGTGGCCCCAAGGCATATAATATCATAATGAAGATTTATCACTATCATAAAGATACGGTAACATCAATGGACATGTAAGATATTGATATCGGTTCAGAACAATTAGAGACATTAATGTAAATTTATAAACACCAAACAGAAAATTCAATCATTATGTTTCCAACCTCTCAATCAACACCATATTGCCAATAGATGTATTCAAATAAATGAAAATGAATTCCAAATATAAAGACATTTTTGGCTAAACCCCAATTAGCAACTTCCATGTAAAAATAAATACCTACTGTCCACGTATATATTATTTATTTCTTTAGTCTCATAATCTGGGACAGGCAGCGGAAATTCGAAGCATTCCTTCTTTGACTCCCAACTTTTGCCAAAGAACTTTCTTGGAGATCACATTTCTGCTCAGAGCGGTTAAGTTGACCCAAAAAAAAAATAAAATTTTTAAGGCTATTTCATTTACCAAAAAAAATCAAATGAGTTAAAAAGAACTAGATAAAGGAAGCTACTGAATAATCCTGCAGTACATGGGGCATGGATGTGTAAACGATATTTCATTTACCAAAACCAATTCATAAATTTTTTAAATGGAAGAGATCAGAACCTTTAAACTATCATCCAATCCACAAAACGGGGCTCATATCTCTGCAAATGTGTTGGAACAAGCAATTCTGAAATTACAAATCATAGTTGCATGATGTAAAGAAAAATAAGAAGTCAATTCTTATGTAATTTTGATGAATGAAGGCTTTGATGAACGAAAGATTCAAAGATCCGGGAGTGGAGCCAAATTCACAATTGTCTCGAGGGCATTTGTGAAAAGTTCCTCATCCTCTACAAATATTGAGATTATTTTTCAAGCACTTGCATTCAAGAAAAATACAAAGTAAATAAGCACTTACATTCTAGGAAAATACAATGTACCATTCATTCCAGGTATGTCAAACTATTTTACAATAATCATCCATATCTTATAAACATCATGGAATATGTCAAAATCACACTAAAGGAAGTTAGAAATTCCCTTAGATGTTTACAAAGTCAGTGAACCTCTTTCATTCAAAATCAAGTTGATTTTGAATGTGGTCATTCATTTTCCTGGCTTTTCATGCAGTGCAGTCTTGCTTCATACATAACATGTTCAGGGAATGGAAAATTTAAGATAAATAGAAAAAATGATGCAATACCCAATTTATACTAACAAGACTAACTCTTCAAACTAGTAATCAATTTATCATCTTCTCATGGCTCCCACATCAACTGGGCTGAATCTTATTCTCACCCTTAATCTGAATTTAAAAAAAAAAAAAAAAATCAAGGATTCTAATGTTCTTCCTTCAAGAAAAAAAGGAATAACATAGTCTAATTACCTATGTTCTTTAGAAATACATAAAATTATGTTCTACCAATATACAAACATAGATTGAAAAAATTGAAAATAATGAGATTGAAAAACAGAAAGATCAAAGTGAATGAGATTCTATTAAAAAGAGAGCAGACCAAAAATAGCAACTGAAAAGATTAAAAAGAGTACAATTCAGCTGAAGAGAGGCTAGATCGAAGAGCGAGGAAGATAGTAAATCATGTGTTTGAGACCAGATCTGATGGAGAGAGAGAGAGAGAGAGAGGACAAGACCAGAGGTACGGTAGCGACTAACCTTAGGAGGAGCTTCAATAGGTAGGGCGTATGCAACGCCATCGCACTCGAAACCCTAGATAGAATCCCTCCAAAAACATGATCTCGTCTCCTCCTCTTGCTTCGACTCGACCAGTTTCGGTCCCGACCACTGTCTCGATCCGGATCCATGATCTCGATCCTTTTTCACTCCTCAGTCTCGTAACCTTGCATTCATGCAACTCAACCGGTCCATCTTCCTCTGCAAAATTATCAGAATCAAAATCAAGAAAAACACAAAATCTTCAAGAAATTTCAACTAAATCGTTTCAAGAATCGATGGATTTAGAATTAGATTTGAACAAGTAATCAAAATCGAACCTGATGAATCTCTCAAGGAGCATGAGGAGAGACAGAGAAAACCCTAGATCTAGAGAAAATTATAGAGAGAGAATGACAGAGACGGAAAGAAAAATGGAGACGGAGCACCGTTATAAAGTGAAACGCGTGCTTAAAAGAGAATAACGCGTGTTTTTAATTTCACTTTACACCTTCCACAGCTTTTGTCAAAAAACGTTGTCTAAAAAATGTGGTTATAGACAACTTTTGTTGTAGTGGTATCTACTTCTATAATTTTATGTTGTATTTTAGGATATATGGTATTATCTAACTTGTATATTATTTTCCAAAATATTCTTAATGGATATTTGGTTTCATACATATTGATTCCTACAGTTTTTATTTTTAAAGTTAAAAATTTATTTATAAATCTATCTTTTAAGCTAATATAATATCCTGGCCTACAATTAAAACCTAATGGTCCTCTACATAGATTACTTTTTATTTCACTAATTATGGATCTTTCAAAATTTCGTTATCTAATATTACACAAAAATGCATGTATATCTATATCTTGTCTTTTGTCAAATAGCGTTGTTATTTGTATTTGTACACTCCCTATATGCATATATTTATATTTATTATCTTTATTATTCTTTAATATATTTTCATAATTTATTAAATTTATTTCTCTTACCTCATATTCACAATTGTTAATTTCAATATCTTCTTCTATCCTTTTACATATATATTTACTTTTTAATTTGAATATTGATTTATGATATATTTCGTCTTTTCGTATTATTGGTAATATCCAATCTTTTTCTATTTCTTTTTCTTGAGAATTTTCTATGACAAATTGTTCTTCTCTCAATTTTTTATATTTATTTTTTCTCTCATCATAAAATTTAACTCTTCATTGGTGTCGCTATAATTTTCGTCTTCTATTTCTATTTCTTCTTCAATTAAATCTATTATTCCTTTATTATTTCCTAAAGCCAATTCTAAATATTCTTCTTCTTCTTCAAATTCCACATAATCCAGACTTCCTAAGCCTTCTATTATTTTAATATTCTTCATATTTCTGCATTGATTTGCAAAGTGGCCTATTTCTTCACATGTCCAACATTTACAGATCTTTTTTTCTTCTGGACAATAATTATTTTTTCTAAAAAACCTTCTTCTTTTGTTGAAATTATAGGATTTTTTTTTATAATATTTTCTTTTATATTTTTTTGCTCTTTGCTTATTAAAACTTTTTCTTTTATAAAATGTTTTCTTTTTCTTATTGTATGTTTTTCTTATCAAAGGCTCACATCCTCATAAATTAGATATTTGCCAGTAATGTAAATATTATTTTTTTCATTTTCCTTCTTTACTTCATTTTCATGCATTCCTACTATGACCCAAGATGTCAGTTGTGGTATCTCCTAATTTTTTTAACCATTTTTCATATTTTTCTTCTATATTAACATTTATAGGATATGGTAATTTATGAAAAAATATGGTTAAATGAATTTTATTTCTACCTATTTAATAATAATAATAATAATAATAATAATAATAATAATAATAATAATAATAATAATAATAATAGGAGTATTCACATATATAATTTTCTATATATTCCATATTACATATTTCTACGTTACTTAATTTCCTGACCCATTCTCTTCTTCTTTTATCTTCATCCCACTCTTTTCCTACGAATTCTTCTTCAGTATATTTTACAAATAGGTTTAACATACACTCTGGGATAGTTTCTGTTATTAATTTTTCTTTACCACTTTCTCTTAGGTTGCCATACTAGCTTACTACTATACCCGTAAAGCTATGTTCAATATAATTTAAAAAAACTTTGCGTGCTCCAATTGCTGCTATGGATATTTAAGACACGGTGCATGCCTCTCTTCATTGTTTTATTACCTTACTTGTATTTGTAGCACAATCAATATTTAATAAATATCATGTATTACTTATTGGTTTTAATGGTACCTCCCTTAAGAATACTTCATTCCTAAGGATAAAATCAACATAATTGGATATTCCTCTAGCAAAAGATCC